CAAAATAAAATGCAACGGCAACGAAAATGAAAAATGTCAAAAATATTACATCGGGACAACAAAAAACAAATTAAAAACACGATTATCCGGACACAAATCAGACATTAAAAACAGGTCATCAATCACAACACAGAAAACAGCACTTTCTACCCACTGTGCCACCGAACAACATCATCCAGAATTAGAGAGAGTGAGAGTGCTACAGTGCGAGAACAACTACCAAAAGCGACTTATGTTGGAAACTCTACACATAATGAATACTCCAACATCACAACGAATAAACTACAAAACAGACACAGAGAATCTAGCAAACAGTTACAGACATCTGATTAGAAAAATAAACAAAGATATACAATAAGAAGGGAATGCTGCAGTGACAAAACAGATGGCAACAACACAAGGTCGGCGTCGAAGCTCAGCGATATTTTGTAAAATTTTGTTATATGTTTAAACAGTATTGTTCCTGATGATGTCTTCCGTTGGAGGACGAAATATCGAAAATAATAAATAATTAAACAACAACAAAGACCTCGAGCTCATTTTTTTATTAAATTTGAATTTGTAAAAATATATAATAAAGGTCGAATTAAATATCTAAAAATCAAATAATTAATACGACAAAATTTAAAAAATATGAGAAAATTTTACAAAATCAATATTTTCATCTTTAGAGATATTTTTATGCGATTTTTTTAGACGTGTTTTCTTTCCTGCCAAGAGGACATTCAGAATTAAACACAACTGTCGAAATCAGTTCAGCCGTGCCGACATATAAGAGATCTTTCAAGCATATCTTCTTTGATAAACATCGCACATATTTTGCTGTATATCCGATTTGTTGGATGTTAACATTAATGTAAAGGTCAGAAGTAACCTTGTCATGGCTTTGTGATTTCGTCGGGATTAAAAAAATATTCGCGGTTTAATGAAAAATTTTGAATTTTTTCAACAAAAAAGATATAATCTATTTTACCCGCTAAATATTATCCGATGACCACCCAAATTGGTAGGCTTCTTCCCCGTCCTAAACTCTAGCTACATGCGTCGATTGGTCTATAATTGCGACCTGTATAGCTACTGCAAAATCTGACATTTTTTCAGTATTTGGTCATTTCAACACCTAAACATTTGGCGATCATCTCAAAAAGAAATAGGGTTCTATTCTGGCCCGACCCCGACCTTCATTCCAAATTTCGGGAAGATCGGGCCATAATTGCGACCTGTAGAGTGATTACAAATTAACATGGACAGACGGACGGACGGACATACATAGCTAGATCGACTCAGCTCGGCGAGCTAGGATGATCCATATATTCTTTCCTATGTGGGAAACCAATATTTCGTGGTGTTACATAATACATGGCCCAATCAAACTTATAATACCCCCAACACATAGTGTTGTAGGGTATAATAATTTACATTTTATATTTTCATAGAAAAAGCACGCACCAGCTGGGCATCCATTTTCGTTCTATGCAAAGATGAAATGAAGACATTTAAAAGGAAAATTTTTCATTTCATATTTTCATAGAAAAAGAATCCAGCCCTTTGTTGGCTAAGCAACTGTTATCGAATATTAAAATTGTATTAAATAAATCAGTAAAAATATTTTTTCAGATATTTTCAAAATCATTTTCTAGTCTGCATAGTTATTAATGTACGGTAATCTCGAGGAGGAGAAAAAGCTACCTTTCTATGACTAAACTCCCTTCTGATATTAGACTCGTAAAAGGCATACTGACTGGTCACTGCAGTATCAGATATCTGAAGTAAAGATGGGACATTGGTGTTCTTGACTGCTGTGGAATATGTGAAAACGAAGAGGAGGTAGAGACTAAACAAATACTTTGCAGATGACCCATGTTTTCCAGTTGGTTGATAGAAACCCTAATGTTCTTCTCAGTCATAGATCCCACAAAATTGTAAAATTTCCTGCCTAGCCACCCTGATAACAATACATTTTCTTTCCTTTTTCATCTCGTCATTTGTATGCCCTCCACCATAGGTGTAACACCTCGAAATTTTAAGACACCACAAAATATATATATATTCTTCATCAGCATAAAATTCGGTCGATTTTGCGATGTCCGTCCGTCCGTCTGCGGAAATCACTCTAGCTTCCAAACGAATTGAAGTAGGTTGATAATAATTTACTCAAACGTGTGTATTGTCTGCAGGACTTTTGGTATTGAAAATGGGCTATATGGGTCCCCGTTTAGATATAATGAACATCCCCATATTCGGTATTTTGATGATATTAGCGACATTATTCAGAGGAATTGTTTCAAATTTAGTGTTTGAAGTTCGTAATGGATACTACAGCCTTAGACAGAAAAGTGTCTGTGCATGTCCACGTCTCCGTGTAGCCCCCATATAACGATACCTGCTTATATTCGGTATTTTGATGATTTTAGCTACATTATTCACAGATTTTCTTTTTAAGTTACGCATTTGAATATTGTAATAGCTTATAACAAAAGTAGCCTATGCAGGTCCACGTCGTCGTGTAGACCCTAATATAACGACTACATTTGGTACTTTTAAGATTTTAAAAGATTTTTAACGGTTTTTTTTTTTTGAAAATAGCCAAATTCGTTCCAATTGGTGGAGGGTATTAAAAGTTCGGCCCGGCCGAACTTACTGCTTTTTTGCTTGTTTAACATAATTCTTGTCAAAGTCATATCATGTCATATTTGGTACAAGAGGTACAAAAGCCTCTGTCAAATTTATTGAAAATCGATTCAGAGTTGGATATAGTTCCCAAACTGTGACTTAGGCCATGATACGCATTCAACTAAGATTCATAGATGATATGATCTACTTCACATAAATTCCCAATATCAATTTTATACGAGAGCTTTACTACATACGGAAAGTGGTGTAGGTCACAGCCCGACTTTTGGCCTTCATGGGTCGGATATGTAGGCCACTTTGAGTCCGTTCTCGTATCCATGGGTTTGCTAGATTTTTATTTATAGTTGGAATTTAAGATGACAGCACCATCCATGCATCGCAGAATCGAAAAGAGGATCACAGATGGTAGAATCCTGGCCGAAAGGCTTCCTACAAATTTTGGTCAGACATTCACAATCGCCACAGGCATTCACAATTCGAAATATTGTGAAATCCCATGTCGGAACTGTAGCGTCTTCCAATAAATCTATAGCCGATGGTTCTCTTGTATAGAACAGTTGTTATTATTGGTACTCAACTTTTACTTTATGAAGTACAAAGTCGTTAAATTTTAAGAGATCTGCTGGGATAAAAATTGGCGTGTAATCGATTACGAGATAGATGACATTGTAGGAAACGAGGGATCAACCCCGCTATAATTAATTTGAGAGATCCGTATATCTTACGTTATGTCAAAAACTTCTCAACGGTTTTTATACCCTTCACCATACATAGTATGGAGGGTATACTAAGCTCGTCATTCCGTTTGCAGCTCACCGAAATAATAACTTTAGACCTAACAAATATTCTTGATCAGCGTTAAATTCTAAGACGATTTAGCCCTGTCTGTTCTCCATCCGTCTGTACATCTGATGTAATCCCACTAAAGTCAAAACGAATAACGATAAGAAGCTAAAACTTTGCACTGATCAGTTTTTTGTGAGCAGTCAGGTCAAGTTTGAAAATCCACCATATCGATCCTCGATATCGTATGGCCCCCACATAACGGATTGTAGCCACATTTTTTTAACAGAATTGTCTCAAAATCCACACAAGGAGTTCCTTCTGAGTACTTTACCCCCTGGAAGAGAATTGTTATATAGGCCCACGATATCGTATATCACCCATGTAACGGTACCTCCCGATATTAGGTATTTTCATGATTGTAGCCATATTTTTCAGTGAAATTGTCTGAAAATCCGCACAAAAAGTTCCTTCTGAGTACTTTACCCCTTGGAAGAGAATGGTCTTTATAGGTCGACGATATCGTATAGCCCCCTATAACGATACCCTCCAGATTATCGGTATTTTGATGATTTTAGCGACATTTGTGATCGGAATAGTATAAAATTTCGTATTTGAAGTTTGAAGCTCATAATAAGTGCTACCACCAATGCCAGAAAACTGTCTGTGAAGGACCATTATAGCCCACATATAATGGTACGTCCCTTTATCCGGTATTTTAATGATATTAGCAACATTATTCGTCGAATTTTTTTCAAATTTGATGATATTGGCAACATTATTTAACAGAATTGTTTTAAATTACGTGTTTGAAGTTCGGAATCGGTACTAAAGCCCATGACAAAAAATGACTCATGCAGGTCCATGTCTTCGTATTTCCGTTTTCATTGGAGCGGTATTTTTGCCGGATATTTTTTTTGAAATTATTTAAATTCAAAATTATGTAGGGTATTAAAGTTAGCTGCTTTTTTGCTTCCTTTTTTGAGATTTTGGAGTAGCGTGAAGAGTATAATGTTAGCCTCACTTTCAACTAAATGAAATACAATTCAATATTTATACTGTTTGGCATATGACTCAAGATCCAAATTTCAGGGACACATTTTTTAACAATTCTTTAATTTCTTACATGGCGCCCAATGTAAGTGATTCAAAGTTATTAGTGAGAAAATGTACCTTCTGTAATGCGGCTTTCCATAATTTTACAAATTTGTTATGTTAAGAAGTTACCAATTCTTCCGAACTTATCTAGATTAAAAATCCTGGGGCATTTTATTAAAAATACTGATTTATTTCGATAAATTGTGAACTTTTCAATGACTTTGCTTGTGTACTAGACGCACAGTGATGTCGCTTCAAATCCATTTTGCATTTATAATAATAATCTTAATAATCTTTATTAGAATACATTCAAACATTCCACCCTGCCGTCTATAATCACATTTCTTACTTGTTAATTAATTATATTAAAATAATAATGGCTCACTTAGTTATTTGATGTATATTCTCCTTTTCTTTCTATTTTTATTTCTATTTCTTTTCTTTTTTATTTCCAATCCCAAAAAAACAACAACAACAAATTTTAGTATAACGCTAAAGAAAAATGGAAAAGAACTACTGTGTAAATTAGGTACCTTTAATAAAAACAAAAAAAAAACAAAAAATAATAAATTATAAATATTAAAACTGTAATTGAATGTCAAACAACAACAAAAAAAGCAAAACAAACTAAATATTAATTAATTTAATTACAAACACATCTACATACAATTATTAAAATAAAACACTCACTCACTCACCCACATCAACAAAAAAACGCCCCAAAAAATCCATTAACAAAACCATTTTTTTAGTTTTTAAGCTCCACCTATTATTCTAATTATAATTATTATTATTATATAAATTTAAAATGAATTAAAACAAAATACTTTATTGTTAGTGGCACAAAAACAACTTAGTTAAAAGAAAACAAAAAAAGAAACAAAGCAAAGCACAAACAAAACAAACCAAACCAACCAACCAAGAAACCAAATAAGGAATACTTAAGCAAAATGAAATGGACTTTATTCGTAGAAACGTATGTATATGAATTTTAGTATTTAAATGAAATGAAAAACAAAAAACAAAAAACAAAAAAAAAATTACTCTGTGTATAAGGAAATCTCGAAAGTGTTGTGATGTCGTTAACATGATTCACATGCATATAAACCAAGAAAAAAAAACAAAAATGAAAAATAAAACAAGACAAAAACAAATTGAAAACTGAAACATATTTTTTTTATTTTTCCCTAATTCAACTGGAGGGCTGTAAATATTGGCAGAAATTGGCAAAGCATATAATTTAATTTTAAATTATTTTTTCAAGGCACCACCTATGGGTACATCTGTTTATTTTGGAGATTTTAAAACGTTATATAATTACTACGCTATATAATTACTTTTTGCCTAAAAGTATATTTTAATCGAATTGGAAAGCTTTAGTCAGTTGGCTGAGTATTATAATTTTATTACCTGGATATACTTAAGATATCAGTCTTTTGTCTGAAGGCAGGTCAAGTTCGATAATAGACTATATCGGTCCACGATATCACATAACCCCCCGATATTAGGTATTTTGATGGTTATAGCCAAATTTTTCAAGGGAATTTTCTGAAAATCCACAAAAGAAGTTCTTTCTAAGTACTTTATCCCCAAGAAGAGAATTGTCTATATAGGTCCACGATATCGTATAGCACCCATATAACGGTACCTTTCTATATTCGGTATTTTGCAGTCCGTAAAAGGTACTACAGTCATGAGCAAGTCTTCGTTTAGCCCTATACATACCTATATTCGGTATTTTGATGGTTATAGCGACATTATTCACCAGAATTCTTTCAATTTTCGGATTTTAAGTTCCTAGGGGGTACCGCAACAAAGACCTAAAATGGTAAAGACTAGACAAAATGCATTTGAGAAATTGTTTGTGTCTACAATACATAGAGTAACTGCTCATGGCAGTAACATGTTAATATAAAAACCACAATTACAGAAACGGATAACAAATAAAAATTTGAAAAATCCAAAATTTTGACTTCGAAATTCTATTCCATGGGCTTTTCCGAAAATTTGCACATTGCCTTAGCGGTTTAAATCAGTTAACATTGGTAACTATGTTGTTATGATATCGTAACAACAGAGGTATTTTCACAGGGTTACCATATCTTGACTCTGTCTTGTCCTATCTTTACACTTCTATGTCTTTGACCGCAAGTTATAGCACGTCTTCGTATAGCCCACATATAACGGTACTATTCTTAATTGGGTATTTTTGTGATTTTAGCGGTATTATATATGGAAAGTTTTTAATAGGTACTACAGCCTATGACAGAAAACTGCATATGCAAGTTTACGTCTTCGTATAGCCCCCACATAGCGGGACCTCCCTATATTCGGTATTACGATGATCTTAGTAAAATTGTTCACCGGAATTGTTTCAAATTTCGTATTTGAAGTTCCTAATGTGTACTGCAAGCTAAGACAGAAATTTGACTGTGCAGGTCCATGTCTTCGTATAGTTCCCAAAAAAACGATACCTCCCTCAATTCGGTATTTTTATGATTTTAGCGGCATTATTCTCCAAAATTATTGCAAATTTCGTATTTGTAGTTCGTGATGGATACTACAGCTCTGACAGAAAACTACCAATGCACGTTTTCTTATAGACCCCAATATAACAGTATTTTTTATCGCATTTTTTTAATTTCCAAATTCCTTCCAAATGGTGGAGTGTATTCAATGGTCCGGCCGAACTTAATGTCATTTATAACTATTAGTCCTAGATCAATAAAAATAAAACACGTTCTACGATATCATTTGGGAGTAGGGCGAATATAAACAAGTAAGGAAAGGTAAAAAGTCGGGCGTGGTCGACATTATGATACCCTACACCACTAGGCGTATATAGTAAAACTCCCGTAATAAAAAACGGTTATATTGGGAATTTATGTGAAGTAGATCATACCAACTATGAACCTTATTTGAATGCGTACCATGGCTTTAGATTAGTCACAATTTGGAAACTATGTCCAACTTTGAATCGATTTTCAACAAATTTCTTCAATTTTGGCAGATATAACCTATGTAGTGAACAATAACCCTAAAATTGGATGAAGATATATATCGACGGTACATAAAAATCTGATTTCGATAAAATTTGGCAGAGGTATTTTTGAGTTGTAAATATCCATTTTATGGGGTCCATACTACGCATGAGAGGTACTTAAACACTAAATCGGATAAAATATATATGTTGGAGCTATAGCTATATTTGAACCGATTTTCACCAAAATTTGAAGTACTTGCTTCGGGGCTGAATCCCGTTGGAATGATATTAGGCATTTGGTGCACAATAAACATGACATCGGATAAAGATATATTTGAAAGCTATAACCAAATCTGAACCGATTTTGACAAAATTGTAGGCACTTATTTCTGAGGTGTATTTGAAGTCCGGTATCAAATATCCTTGTTGTGGAGTGCATATTACGCATGTCAGCTACTTAAAACCCCAAATCGGATGAATCATATATATGGGAGCTATTGCTAACACACTTTCAGTACTTTATGCATTTTTTTTAATTTCAGAACGATGACATCTAGAAAAAACATCCCACATTAAATTTTACTATAAAAAAGCTAAAATACATCCAAATCCTTTGATCATTTTTCCTCGGCCTTTTTTGTTTTTATGCAAGGAAGTAACATAAAAATCTGATTTCGACAGAAAGTGTCAAAGGAAGGAAAATTCTGCACAAAATTTTGCTATAGTTCTCAAAACGTGTCTAAGTCTTGGAGGTAGAACAGCTTCGTAAAACTACAGAAATGCAGTCCTGATGCTATGCCCCCTTCCTGTCAAATTCGCATCGATTTAGCAATGTCCGTCCGTCCGTCCGTCTGTCCGTCTGTGGAAATCACTCTAGCTTCCGAACGAAATGAAGTAGGTTGATAAAATTTTACTCAAATATGTATTATGTCTGCAAGGCTTTTGGTCCACCATTCCCCGGAATTGTTTCAAATTTTGTATTTGATGTTCGTAATGGATACTACAGCCTACGACAGATAATTGTCTGTGCGGTCCACGTCTTCGTATAGCCCCCACCAATTTTTTTAAGTTTCGCATTTGAATGTTGTAATGGCTTATGACAAAAGTCACCTATGCAAGTCCACGTTGTCGTATAGACCCTAATATAACAGCTACATTCTGTATTTTTATGATTTAAACAGAATTTTTAACGGATTTTATTTTTTGAGAATTGTCAAATTCGTTCCAAATTCCAATTTTCCGAATTCACTGCAAGTTTTGTTTAATTTCACTGTTCAATTGCCGGCCTTGATTTGAAAAACTACAAATGGTTTTGTTAATATTCGGTTTGCAGATCAAAACCTTTAAAGAGTTTCGGACCAGCTTGCCCATATACAAATACAAAACATGTGTCTTCTATTTTTAGCCTTACTTCCTTAATCTGCTGGAATTTCATTGTAGTTATTAAAAAATGGAATTTTGTCGCACAGTGTAATCAAGAAATAAAATATAAACAAACATTAATGAATAGATTCAAAGAATTTTATTTGAATCTTCTTCCCCTTAAACTGCCATCAGTCATTTATCACAAAATATTAACTTCATTATTTCAAAACTCAAAACATTTCAATAATTGACAACCAATTCCCCAGCGCACAAATACCAATATTGCAAATTGGCCAAAAAATTTCTCAACATAATGTAATAATTAGCCCTATTTAAAAATTTCAATTTAAAAATCGGTTTTTTTTGTTGTTGCTATCTAAATTAATTAAACATTGCCATTATTTATGAATCACTTTATAAACTACAAAAGCAGCAGCAACAACATCAAGAATTGAATATTTGTTAGCATTTATGTGTGCACTTATGTATGAAAATATATAATATAATGCAATACAATGAAGTCTTATTAAATAGTTTGTGTGTATGTATGTGCACTGTGTGAGTGGCTATGTGTGTGCGTGCGTGCGTATGGATGCATCTGTCTGTGCATTTTTGCTGCTGCAGCTATGATTAGGAGAGAATGTTTTAATTAATTACAGCACTTTTGTCATACAATTGCAACAAAACCAACAACAAAAACAAATCGAAGAAAAAAACTTAAACGCAAACTAACAACAACTAGCCATTGCCCAAATGCAGAAACCACAACATTGGAAATTTTGCAATTTTTATAAATGGGTTGTATATTTCTCTCTCTCTCTCTTTCTTCCATCTTCCTCTCTTTCTAACAAAAAAGTAATTAAAATAATTATTTTATTTATTTTTAATAAAAACATTAGTTATTAGTTGGGTATGTAAACACTAAAACATAAATACATACGTACATACATACGTATATATTTCATTCTTCCTTCATGCATTCATTCAACACATTCCTATTAAATTAAACGATAAGAATAACGGACCATTCAAACTCCACCAACAAAACCAACAACAAAACACAAATTATGACCAAAAAAAAAATAAAACTAACAAAGAGGATGGCTAAAGCATCTGAATTCTATTTATAAATAATTTATTTACGATATATTTTTAATTACAACATGTAAATTTTGTATAATTTAATTTGTATAATAAATTGGTTCATGAATCGCTGCTTTTGTCTGTATTGTTGGCATTGCGTTGGTGCCACTGTTTGTTGATTAACTGTAACAAATTCATTTAGCGCCTGAGAGTATGCATTAGTTTTTTCTTTGTAATCGCAAACAGTTGTAGAGTGAAACAAGTAAGCAAAGGCTACAGTCGAGCGGGGCCGACCGTTGAATACCCTACAACACTATAATAAACGATACAGTTTATATAGGCGAGATACTCGAAAGAATTCCACAAGATATTGTGACAAATTATAAAAGAAAACCATCAGGTTTCGTTCTCTAATTTTCGAATAATAGCAACTTAAACTAATTTGCTCATATCCAATTTATTGGTAGATGTTGCACTTAAATGGTCTTCCTAGATCTGGAACCAATATTTCCCAAAGACCTATAATTTCTTAGAAGTGGCAAAAGATTAACATTTATTATTGGTTTTTGACTGAAACTCATCTATATGAGATACAGACATTATACTATATTCGTTAACGAAATAGTCAGAATTGCGTCTTTCCTGTATTTGTGAATTCTCGAAAAAGTCTCTGGAATGGACATTTTCGTATTTTGTCTACAAAAGTTGGCAAACTATTTCACACATTGAATATTTTTGGATGGCCATCCAAAACTGCTTGGCTTTTGCCATGTCCGGTAACCTCCTTTCAAATGTGCGTGAGGATCGGGCGATAA